GCAGCCCTGCATTCAGGTCCAGGCTGGAACAACCTGTGAGGGCTTACGTGAACTTTCAGTAAATGACCAAACAACACAGCAGAAGCTGGGCTAGGTAGAATTACCTGCACTATAGAAGCTATAATTTTGTGGTAGATGGGGATCCAAAGATTGACTAATTAATAACCAAAGAAACTTATAGACAGGATCATGCTAAAAGTGGAGAAAGAGTAGCTGACACATCCTTTTTTGGCCCGAATTCACAAAACTAAACACAAATTTCTAAAATCACTCCTAAACCTAGGGATTTGAACACTAACTAGAACTGTGTTAGAGCAAGAGTTAGCAAGAGACAACTAAATGTTTCTTTTAAATGAAACTTTTTCAGTGCACTACTACAAACGAACAGATCTGACATAAATCAGAAATAATTATATAGGTTATTTCTACTTGGCTTATACTTCCAGTGTTTAATATTAGGAAACACTCTGCTTCTTTCTTCTCCCTTGTATCCTTGATCAACATATATTGGTTGATATGAGACACAGAGATGATCTGTAACCGATTAGTAACTTATTGCAGTTGTGAAACCCCAGGCATAGACCCAGTGTACTATTTTCTACCTAGTTTTAAAAGCATCCAAGTGTAAATACTGAAAATGTTATCATTAGTTGATAATGATTTATAACAAAACAGAAATACACTCCAATTCTGCAATAAAGCTAAACCAGAAATAAAAGTAAAAGAAAAGGGAAAGAAAAGAGGAAAAAAAAAAAAAGAATATCTTGACTGTTAAATACACAAAGCTAACAAATAATAGTTAAATGTTATATTTGGCTCTATGTGAACAAACAAGTGCTATTTAAAAATGAATACTAACACTGAATAATGAATAATTTAGGCAATGAAAGCATCACATCAAAATAAACATTCAATCAACACTATTCTAGGGGAGAATATGCTGACATTTGTAATCCTCTAGGTAATTATTTTGCTCTGGCCTGGAAGACCGATGAGACTGACTGGAATATGCCACATGTTGTTTTGAGCACTGACATTAGAACAGATGATGTCAGAAACATTATCTCCATAATATATCTTGCTTCTGACATATGATTTAGAATTTAAGGACTTAAAGGCATAGTGAAAGCAGAAAGGAAATATTTGAACAAGATGAAATAAAATGGTCCAAATACAAAATACTCCCTAGAAATCAGCATTTACTGGAAAATATTCATTGACAGATTTTGCAAGCGGCATATGGGGCTGAATAAGGGGGGCACAGAGGATTCAATCTGGTGGGGGGAATAGGGAAAGCAATGCGGAGGGGGTACTTCTGTCTTTAATATAAAGATGATGAATAAAGTCTTCAGGAACACCTATGTTCATGTTCCATTGATTTTTATTGGGACTAAAGCTCTTAAGTCCTTTAGGCAGTTCTGAATATTTTTACCCTACACATGTATACACCACAGCGCAGGCGAAATAACCAATACAACTGTTCTGCAATAGGAGGCAGGATGCGGTAGAAAGTTTTGCTTTAAGACAGAGTTTGGTTTCCTTGGTTTCCTGTTCAACTTTCTCATAGCTAATCCTCAAGAGGCCTTGTTGAAACACAATACTGTAGTTCTCCTGCTGAGGCCTTGAACAAAGAACATCATCTAATAAAGGCAGTTCTTCTTGACCTGATAAAAGCCTGGAAAACTAATCACATACACCTTTTTCCTGATGAAATTTAAAACTTACGGAAGTATAGAATTCTGCTTAGGTTCACTCTTTGGCTCACTCTGGTGTTTTATAGGTAGCCTGTAACAAAGGGAGAAGAACAATCTGACCAAAACAACTATTCCAGAACCAGAACCATTAGTACTAATTTGAAAAAGGACTCCCAATCTATCAAACCAAATTTAGAATCTAAATATACTATGCAACTGCACCCAGATAGCACACATTTATGCTTCAGCCTTATAGAAAACAATATTCAAGATAAATCAAATCAGATTTACTCTGTTCCACTGCGAAATAAAATTGCTCAGAGGTAAAAAGGAAAATTCTGAAGCCCTCAAACTATTTCATTTTAGGAAAAAGTAAGATGTGTCAGTGAGGAAATAGAACAAAAATATTTCGTGCTACTGATTTCCCTGGAACCAGGATTTCATTGATTATGTTTTGGGACAAGCAAGCAGGAAACTAAACCAGCAGATTAAGAATTTGCTTGCAAACTGGATTGAACTGAAGAGACAGGCTCAGGAAAGCACAAGATGGCACCAGTCTCGACTGCAATCCAGACATGCATCAGTATCTTGTGTTGAGATACCTAAAACAGCTTTAAGCTGCTAAACTCGGATTCCAGCAGCAGTGTGCAGCTTGTCTTGCCACAGCTACAAGCCCCGCTGAGGACCACAGGTGGGTACCCTGCTGATGAAACCTATACCACTACTGGTACTTGAGATACTAAGTTAGAAAGCCATTTTTGGTAAATGTGAGCAAGCTGCAAACCCCACCACTGGACTCTACTGAAGATACACTAGTAAGCATTTTAAGATGCTACTTGAACTGCCCTTTATTTGCTTTGGCTGCTTCTGCAAAACAAACCAAATCTTACCATATATAGAGTGCACTTGTTTTTAGAGTCAGCCAGTTGCATCTGACAGAAAAATAAAAGTGATCAACTATTTACAGTTGGCAAAAAGGCCAATACGCTATTTAAAAATAGCTATTTAAAATTTTAAAAATTACACGTTACACTTAGACCACACTAAATCTGTGGAACGTTAAGTGGTGTCAAAGTTAGAACATGCTGTGAGCAGTCGCATGTTAAAGATGAATACCCTTTCTCGCCTGCACAACTCTGACTTGCTACTAGAGGGCTGGCAAGCAGGGGCATGGCAACGAGCTGGGACACCTGGGTTCAGTTCCTGTTCTGGTTTGTGGGGGGGTGAGGGGTGGAAGAACAGGGTAGCAGAGGCAGGAGCATGGAGGTGGGAAGCACAGAGGCACGTGGGCTGTGGCTTTTTCCATCCATGTGCTCTATCCAACTCTGTATTCCCAATGCACTAAACCGTGGGCGCTCTGTGCTGGTACCACCCTCCCTCCCCACAACCTCAGACAGGAACAAGGGGTGCAATAGGAAGCTACAAGCCCTCATGAAGCCATGTGACCAGGGGAGAACCAGAAGCATTTGGGGGAACCAGACCAGGAGATATGGGAAGATTTCAAATAACTCAAGATGTAGCTCTCTATGTTAAGGAAAGCTACACGTCCCTGCAAGCCGATATTGGCGACCAGGGTGGACGGCTGGAGACCCTCTGAGTTAAAATCCGCGGGGAACACGGCACAGGGGACACAATGGTGGGAGTCTACTACAGACCTCCCACCCAAAGTCCTGAGCTTGACCAGGAGTTTGCCCAGGAACTGGCTGAGGCAGCTTGCACCAGGACCATGGTTGTCGTGGGTGACGTCAATTACCTGGACATCTCACGGGAGGATCGCTCAGCAAAATCTGAGCGGTCGCAGAGCTTCCTCTCGTGCGTGGATGACCTCTACCTGACTCAAGAAGTCTATGGGCCAACGAGAGGCAAAGCGCTGCTCGACCTGGTACTGGCTACTGGGGATGACCTAGTCGGCGACCTAGTGATCGATGGGAAGCTGGGTGACAGCGACCACGAGCTGATCACCTTCACCATCCGCCGAAAAGCTGGCAAGTCGGTCAGCAAC